AAGCCCTAAACCCCAAACCCTGGATTCGATGCGGCTTTTCATGCGAGTGTGAGCAAGGGTTTAGTCTCAGAGCTGATGTGTTGAGCGTCGGGCGGGGACGAGGATTGTTGTGCGGCTTTTGGAGAGCATCAATACCGAGATTGAGGGCTAATGGCTTCAATACATGAAAATATTGCCAATGCCAAAGCGTCCTAAGTACCTATATACATAGTAGAAAGTAGTTTTTCAATATATAGGAATTATTATTCTGGTTTGGGTACGTATACCTCCTGAAGAAGCCATACACCTTCACACCACGGCGCCTGACTCCCAATGTCGTCGCGTGTCACCAGCGAGACAGAAAAAGCGAGGACATCCTGTTCCGGTGGACTCCTACAGCCTAGGTGGCCGGAAAGCACGCAGCGATTGATAAGGTAAACCCCTTTACAGAACGCTGCAAGGAAAAAACTAAAAGATCCTGTGCGACCCGATTCCCGCACGACCCTTTTGTAAGACCCCCCTAAACCCTAGACCCTGTAACACCTAAACAACACCTACCCCCGAAACAAGAACCCTTCAAAACTCTAAAGCTCCAAGCCTCCGCCATACTCTGCCAGACGGTGCCGACCTCCATCAAATCCATCAACTTCTTAAGTGGCGGACAAAGTCTGGAGGCGACGAGGGTTTCGGGCTTAGGGTTTACTTAAACCCCCCCCAAAGTAGGTAAACTAATTGCTATTTTTCTACATACTGTTGAGGTCCAAGTAGAGGGGGTTCGGGTTTAGTGTGTCGGGTTTAGGGGGGTTCAGCTTTAGTGAGATAGCGCTACAGTATTCGGTTTTCACAGGGCATCAAAGTGTTTCACAGGATTCCTTTAAAGGGATTGGCTTCTGTAAGGGCGCGGGTGCATAGGGTGCCGTGCTTGCTACTTTTCTTTCGAAATTTTGTAAGAAACCGCGGATTCACTACGATTTCAACAATAATATAGGGTGGTGGCGCCTGCTATTGTAAGTAGGATAAGATTTCACTCAGCTTATCATGGTTGTGGTGGTCACCATCCCTTCACAGAATCCGTTGCTTCCTTTCAGAGTTCTTATCGACATGACCCAAATAAGGATCCTACCACTTAGGCTTTCTATGTTGGGCCCCTTTTTGCCGATGCTCCACAAAATGAAGCCAAAGGCCAGGCTTTAGTTCAGCGTTGTTGGACGCTGCGCGTTCATCTCTGGAATATCCTCCGCAACCGACTGGGAGGGGTTCTGCTTTCTGGGTTCTGGCTTTCGGGTTGGGTTTAGGGTCTCAGGGTTTCGGGGTTCAGGGTTTCGGGGTTCAGGGTTTCGGGGTTTAGGGTTTCGGGGGTTTAGGCTTTCGCGTGTAGGGTTTCTTCGCACTGCATTTCCACGCTGAAGCCATCGCAGAGGTTTGTATATAATGTTTGGGCCGACATAGAAGCTTCCGCACGCAGTTTGTAACAGTGTGGCCGCAGCATCCCGATAGAATCAAGGTGGAAGGTGTCCACCAAGATACAACTTTTAGGCTCTAAGCCACTTACAAACTTAAGAAACCGCTCACAAGCACGTGAACACATCGCAAGTTTTGCATGAAAAAGTCAGACCACTGAGAGGTGAATGGAGTTTAGCAAGGACAGCCGAGTTGAGGGTATCCCCACCGCCAGAAACAGCCCGCTGCAGAAAGGCCTTTTAACCTTATAAGCCCCAAACCCTAAACCCCTAAACCCTCAGCCCCTAAACCCCCTAAGCCCTAAACCCCTAAACCCGCTAAACCCCCTAAACCCTAAACCCCTAAACCCTAAACCCTCTCCGCTACACATTTGTAAGCTTTAAACCCGAGGCCCACAAGCTCAGGCCCTAAGACCAAATTCTTCAAGCAAACATTCTGGGTTCTTGGGGCATTTACTGTAGGGCTTATAGGGTTTGGGGTGCAGGGTTTAGGATGATTTAGGGATTCAGGGTTTAGGGTTTAGGGATTTAGGGTTATAGGGATTCAGGGATTTAGGGTTTAGGGATTTAGGGTTTAGGGTTGAGGGTGATTTAGGGTTAGGGCTTCTCAGCCTTAAACTCAAAACAGTATCCACCTGCCCCTCGGAGGACGCCGCGGCAAGGCTTTCTGCCCTGAACAAGGTCCATGCCTGTTTGTCATCGGTGGGGTGTAGGGAGTTGGGTTTAAGGTTCCAGGGTTAGTTTCGGGTTATGGGTTTAGGGTGTTTCATGTTCCAACCTGATACTGATGCAACTGTTTTCCGTCATGATGCAGACAGGTGCCGAGATTGATGATCTCTTTGCAGCCCGAGTGCCAGCAATTATTGCCTAATTACTCGGTAGCGGCAACACCTGAAGTAATGAATTTTGAAAACCAAAAACAAGGTTGAGAAAGTTCCAGAGCCTTGTGCCCTCAGACCATGATCTAGGGACCTCGAACCTAAATCCAAGTGGACCCTCAGCACATATCCAGGACAGCAGGCCCATTCAACACCCGAAGCCGTAGCCTCAGTCACCCCTAAACCCTAAACCCCTAAAGCCCTAAACCCTAAACGCCTAAAGCCCTAAACCCTAAACCCTCGCCCCGGCTTCCTGGACAGATCAAGAAGAACCAGGGAAGGGCTCCCTGGAATCTGAGCTTCTCTTGGAGCTGGGCGCTGCCGCTTTGCTGCTTTAGGGTTTAGGGTGTAGGGTTTAGGGGTTTAGGGTTTAGGGCTTAGGGGTTTAGGATTTAACATACTATATCCGTCGGAGAATCGTAAAAAAAAACACAAGCACCGAAGAGAACTGCATAATGTGCAAGGCCTCTACAGTGATATTATATCAAGCATCTTCGAATATAATATAACACTGGTCTAACTATGCAGCCCCCATGATGATTCATCAGGGTTCAGCACTTTAGCCTTCAGGGCTTAGGTAGGTTGCTGAGGGCTTTGGGTTTAGGGTTTAGGGACCGATTTGCATGTAGCTGACTTGAATTGATGAGTGCATTGTTCGTGTCACAACTAATGTCATGAGCCGGGTTTAACACCGCCGGCAGTACTATTCTTAGCACTGTCGCTAGTTATTGGCTTGTTGTGTTGCTGCCTTATGATATGTCTTCAGTATTACCCATGTTCGCTCTATGTTTTCAGAATATCGATTTTGATGATGATTACAGTATGAGTGCTGATGTTCTTCTTGCTGCTACTAGTATTCTTGCTGTTATCAGTATGCTACGGCATATTCATGATTATCTTTAGTCTGCTTGAGGGAAACTACCATTTACATGTTTGTTGTTACGGCGAGAGGGCAGATTACACATTGGCTTAGTCTTCCTCTAACGGCCGTGGAACCTAATATAGAAGCCTGAATAGCTAGTAGTTCTATTCCTTAGCGGACCCCTACCAGACTCTATCACAAATAACCGTGGTACGGCATACCCCAAAACCTTGTTCTGGGAGTTAAGACCCCTCCATTGACGGCCGGGGGTGAGAACAGGTTCATTATTAGGTTTTTACCTATATAGTCTCCATTGCAGTTTCTGTTTTGGTTTAACCAACTATCTGATTATTACCCTGAGGGTCCAAATACCCAAATAGTAGGGTTTCAAGGTCCAGAAACTATATTACCCTAAGGGTCCAAGTACCCAAATAATAGGGTTTCAAGGTCCAAAAACTATGGATTTTGGGACCTAAAACCTTAATATTTGGGTACTCGGACCCTCTGGATTAGGGTTGAAGAGACTTTGACCGTAAACTCTCTTGCAAGAACCCTCTGAGCCAGCAGCTCTAGACCCTACCAGGACGCCCCAGGATCCTCGAAGAGTCCAGAGAAGCGGGTTTTGTGGGGTCGGCTGAAGTTGAGGGGATTTCGGCCCAAAGCCGTTTAGTCGTACAGCTCCTCTTCTCGACACCCCTTCTAGTCCATTGAAAGGAGGGAGCGCGCTCAGAAGGCCTAATAAGAACCCCGACATTTCCGTTAAAAGAAGCCCGCATAGCCCCTTCACAGGAATCCTCCCAGCAAGCCCTAAACAAAACCTCCCTAGACCCTAAGACCTACCTGGACCCCAAAGAACCTCCCTTCTTTAGGGCTCCTTATTATGCTTTCCTTATACAAGTCCCTTAAAAAGGATAGGTTCTTTGGGGTCTAGGTAGACCCTTCAATGCCTAAAGGAAGCCCTCCAGCTTAGGCAAGCTCCTCTGTTGGATCTCTGCAAGGCGGGTCCCTAAACCCTGAACCCTAAACCCCTAAACCCTAAACCCGTAAGGCCCTGAAAAAAAACATTCGACCCTAAACCCTAAACCCTGATAGTTCGAGCTTCTGGGTTCGACGGGTTTGTAGGTAGGGTTTGCAGGTTGAGTTATTCGGCTTGAGCTGTATGTAGGGTTTTGCAGCTTGGAGCCTATATCTCGGAGCATTATTTTCAAGAGTGCTGTCAGCGTCTTCGCCAGGAGGGGCCGGAGGGTGGGGCCGAGGTTTAGTGCTTAAAGTTGCTTTTGGCTGGGGTGCCGACAGCCATCTCTGCTTTTTGTTCGCGTAGGGGTACATGGGTGGTTCCCTAAATTAGGGTCCCTCCTTCGGTCCCCAAAATAGTATGGCATCTTGCCCCCTCCCCAAAAAGGGGACCCTAATCTAGAAAACTACCCACATATTCCTAAGCCTTCATAAGGATTGGGACTTTAGGCTATTAGAGGCTGGCTTTGCGGATTGGAGCTTTGTTATTGTATGGGTTCAGGCTAGGGTTTAGGGTTTGCTGGGTCTTTAGTCTCCGGGGGTTTAGGGTTTAGGGTTTAGGCCCGCTGAGCTTTAGGGTATCGAGCTCTGAGGGAAAAGTCTGAATTTTAAGGAAATGGCCCTAGTACTCATAATGCCAACCTTTGCCGTTGAGAGTAGTTGGCCTGTCCCACCGCTCAAGTCCTTCTTCGAGATCACCAGATATCCTCCTATCCTTGCATATCCTCTCCGGAAAATTCGGTGCACAACCACTCAGACACCGTGTGGTAGCCCAGCCCGCGATAGCCGTAGCCCTTGCATCCACAGGGGAAGGGAGGGAAGCTGCCTCTCAAAGAGATGAGCGTCCCGGCAGCACATGCGCGAAGTCCTGAAGTCAGGTACTAATTCACTCCAGGGCTTGCGCTGATACCCGTGAGCACATACACACATGCACACATATATGCATCATTATGTACATATACATACGTACACACATACAGTTAAGACCTAACATGGGTAAACGTGTATGTGTGTTCGTATACAGATGCATACTTATACATATACATATGTGTGTATATATATATATATGTGTGTGTATGTCTGTACTGATTTGTGTATGCATTCATGCATGCATGTAATGTACGCATCATGCATGCATGTTTGCATGCACGCATGGACAGATGTATGCATGTATGTATGTATGTATGGATGGATGCATGCATGCATGCTTGCATGCATGTATGTATGGATGTTTGTATGTATCTATGTATGTAAGGGTTTTGTCTATACACGAGAGAGACAACTACAACTGTGAAACGCATATCAGGCCGCAGTTTCAGCAAAGAGTCCTGCGTCATCATCCCAAACCCTATACCCCAAATCCTTCACCCTAAATCCTAAGCTCCTAAGCCATTACAGCATAGGGTTTGGGGCTCATGCTGCGGGTTCTGTGAAATTCCTCTGCAATAGAGTTGCGAAGCATGGCATGGAGTCCTTCGCAAGTGAGGCGTTGGTTATCAGTCCATCCATCCATCGATCCATCTGTCTGTCCACTTACACACCTACCTTGCCACCTGTACCTATATGTATATGCACATATAGGTATATGTTTATGTGCGTGTTCTGACCTGCCTACCCGCCTGCCTGCCTGCCTGCCTGCCTGCCTGCCTGCCTGCCTGCCTGCCTGCACGCCTGCCTACCTGCCTCTGTGTATATGTATATATATATATATGTATCTATCAGTCTGTCTATCTACCTGTCGATCAATGATTTCTATCTCTCTACCTATCTGTCTGTCTGTCTATCTATCTAGCTATCTATCTATCTGTCTTTATAGACATATGCACATACATACATTCATTCATTACATTACATTACATTACATTACATTACATTACATTACATTACACTACATTACATTACATTACATTACATTACGTTACATTACATTTTTTCACATATATATATAATAAACATAAACTGATAATAGTGATAGTAATAACGATAAGAACAACTATTAATAATAGTTATTGTTAATAATAATTTTAATAAGAACAATAATAATACTAATAATAATAAGAAGAAGAGTAAGAACACACACACACACACAGAGTCACACACACACACATGTGTGTGTGTCTGTGTCTCTCCCTGTGTCTGTGTGTGTGCGTGCGTGTTCTCAAAGGGGGTTGCTCTCCTAAACCCCAACTTCGAAGGAGTCCCAAGGCACGTCCACGCAAGAACCCTAAGGGTTTGGAGCCTGTATGGGCTTTTAAAGGGTTCAGGGTTTAGGTTTTTCGGGGTTGTCGGCTCTAGCGTTTAGGGCTTTGGGGGTTTAGGGCAAAGTTTAGGGTTGGGGATATGGGGTTTAGGGATTTAGGGCATCCCTGACTTCTACGACTGAGTCAAGCTACCCTTGGTGATAGTTGCAAACATCAGGCATTAAACATTATGACTTCACCCCTAACCCAAAACCCTACACGCAGGTGAGCTGTACTTGAAGGAACTGGCAATTGCCAGTGCTGCTGCAAAGGGCGAGTACGAGGTGGACAAGTCCTGAGGTTCAAGCTTTGGAATTCGGGACTTAGCATTGTTTGGTCGAGGGTCGGTTAAGGGCTTGCGGTTTAGGTGTGCAGAGCGGTCTAGGATTTGGCATTGTTGGGTTGCGAGTATTTGGTCGAATCTACGTCGTAGCTTTGGGACCCTAACCCCTAAACCCTAAACGGTTTTGGTTTTGCAGATTCTCACTGTGGGAGCCCGGGAACGTCGACGTGCATGATCCCAGGCTACGGGTTTAGGGTTTGGCGTTTAAGGGGGGTTTAGGGAGCGGCCCAGCCCAACGCAAGTAATTCTTCACTCTTTCCTCTTGCAGCTATAGTAGGACAGGCCCTAGAACCCTGTTCTAATTTTACAGCCCCAATGCCAAAACCCTTTGAAGCCCGAAAAAAGAACCGTGAAAGGAAGCCTTAACAGGAAGTCCCCTTACCCAAGATCTGTTTTCGGGCCTAGGGATGTAAGGTTTAAGAGCTGAGGATTGAGTGTTTAGGAGTGGCTGTTTAGAGTTTAAGGCTTAGGAGTTGGCAGTTTGGGTCTAGGATCTAAGTTGTCTAAGGTTGGCGGGAGTTCAGGTTCCTATCGTTGTCTAGGGCTTAGGGTTTGGGGTAGGGCCTTAGGGTTTAGGGCTTAGGCTGGATGGTGTAACGAAGATGCCCCATAAAGCCAAATCGCCAGACGCGTAGGTTGGAGTTCAACCTCCCGTGATCAAGACGGAGAAGAAGGATGATAAACCGAAAGCCGAGGGCGAGAAGAAGGAGGAGAAGAAGGATGACAAACCCAAGGCAGAGGCCGAGAAGAAGGAAGAAAAGAAAGAAGAGAAGAAGGAGGACAAGCCCAAAGCCGAGGCCGACAAGAAGGAGGAAAAGAAGGAAGACAAGCCTAAGGCTGAGGCCGACAAGAAGGAGGACAAGAAGGAAGACAAGCCCAAGGCTGAGGCAGACAAGAAGGAAGAAAAGAAAGAAGAGAAGAAGGAGGACAAGCCCAAAGCCGAGGCCGACAAGAAGGAGGAGAAAAAGGAAGACAAGCCCAAGGCTGAGGCCGACAAGAAGGAGGAGAAAAAGGAAGACAAGCCCAAGGCTGAGGCCGACAAGAAAGAGGACAAGAAGGAAGACAAGCTCAAGGCTGAGGCAGACAAGAAGGAAGAAAAGAAGGAAGACAAGCCCAAAGCCGAGGCCGAAAAGAAAGATGACAAAAAGTCAGATGCTCCAAAGGCTGAGGGCGAGAAAAAGGCAGAAAAGCACGGAGAAGTCCAGTGGACTTGTCCGCCCGCCTGCCCTAATGCCGAGAAAAACAACAAGCCAAAGGCGGAGGCCGAGAAAAAGGAGGAGAAGAAAGAGGACAAGCCCAAGGCTGAGGGCGAGAAGAAGGAGGAGAAGAAGGACGACAAACCCAAGGCAGAGGGCGAGAAAAAGGAGGACAAGCCCAAGGCGGAGGGCGAGAAAAAGGACGACAAACCAAAGGCCGAGGGCGAGAAGAAGGAGGAGAAAAAGGAGGACAAGCCCAAGGCGGAGGGCGAGAAAAAGAACGACAAACCCAAGGCGGAGGGCGAGAAAAAGGACGACAAACCAAAGGCCGAGGGCGAGAAGAAAGAGGAGAAGAAGGAGGACAAGCCCAAGGCCGAGGGCGAGAAAAAGGAGGAGAAGAAGGAGGACAAACCCAAGGCGGACGGCGAGAAGAAGAAGGAGGACAAACCCAAGGCC